ACTTTCATGGAGTACGATCTCAGTCTAAACAAAGTAACAAGTAGTAGCTCTTTGCTTTTTTTTTAATTTTTGGATTAAATTAGTATTTTTTAAGCTATTCACATCATCCTGAAGCTCCTGGCCTCGACTCCACATACACCTGCATGAATAAGTACGAGGCATTTTTAACAAAAGGTCATTTTTCTTTATCCTCACCATCATCTGCACACAAATCTGCTGTCTTCTACTGCACAAAAACTTTAAACCTTAGTTAAATCTTTAAACACAGACTTCCGTAGTCTCTTGGTTTACTTCAAAGTGACCTCTTTGTTTATGTCTTTTTGAGCATGTGGGCCAAATTCAGGACAACAACAAAAAGTACAACAGAATTAGTTTTGGGGACTAAACCTAAATTAGGCTGTAAGGGCTTTGCAGTGGGAGGTAGATTATAGCGCTACCCCTTTTCAAGGTTATATATACTGGATTTTAGTAAATCAAACTGATTTAAAGTATGATGTAGGTGGCAGGCTCAAGTCCATTTCCCATTTATTGGCTCTAAAGAGACCACAGATAATATGAGTCCACAAGAATAACATGCAGTGACAAACATTTATTTCATTAACATCTTTTGACTTGTTTTCTATTTCATTCTCTCAAGTAAAAGTACAAACTCACTTTATGTCTCTGTATTTTTACAATGAAAATGGGTCGTCAATGACATCGGTATGACATCTGGCATTACCAGCTGACTTTAGACAATCTTAACTTGGCTGAATGAACTCTTAAATATTTGCACTCATGTCTGTTCCAAAGAAGTACATTTGCACACCTATATTGTATGAGACAGGCATGATGCAGAAATAGTGTCAACATTTTTGGTCAGTTTATCAAATATGCTGAGGTTGGTTCAGATCTAGCTTTGTTTAAAAGTGTCTAATTAGTCCAGTACTCTTGCAAAACCTGAACTGAAGTCAATGTCTTCCATTCTGTGAACTGAAAGCTTTGCTTATCAGTATGAAACTTGGTCCCCAGCCACAACACATAACATTTCATGGGTCAGAGAGCCTCTAACAACCTGGTGCCAAGTGGGCCTTGGGTCTGATGACAAGAGACAGAACTGCACGTCGGCCAAAGAGTTGGGTAGCTTGCAGGATAAACAGTCATTAATGTGAAGGAGTACTACTCAACTACAAAAGGTTGTATTAAAACATTACACAAGATGAAGAATTGTTTTCCAAATGATCTATCTAGAGTTGCAAATGATCTATCTAGAGTTGCTCTTAAAACACAAACAAGCAACCATGACTGAATATAAACTGTTTATGAATGAATAGCTATTAAGCCTGATAAAGCTTTGCACATGCTCCCATGACAGAGTGCTGTCCTGATTTTAGCCAGAGCTACACTGAATTGGTCGGTCTGGGAGGAGGAGGGAAGGGAGCAGGGGAAGCAACACAGCATGTTGGGAAGTACAGGAATCTCAGGATGTGATGGAGAATTTTCCCTGGCCTGGGGGGAAAAAACCCAAGCTACGCCAAGTGCTGACTGCGAGAGGTAAGCAAGTTCAAGGGATGGTATGTCTCAGTCAGAACAAGATTGGCATTTGTTAGTACTTCCCTTAGAGTATTTTACTGATATTAAACTTTTACTATAGCTTTATAATATTTCAAAATAAAGCTCCAAGAAGCAATTCAGGTTATTTCTGTTTAAATTTAAAGCCCAAATATCATATGCCAGCTGATGTCACGAAACCTGACACTTAATTCTTAATTGACACTTAGAGATGGAGATGTCAGGCTGCTATTGTTCACTACACTCTGATCAATCCTGAACCCCAGGGATTTCTTTTGAATGGTAGCTAGACTCCACCAAGAATATTCTTGTTCAGATGCCCAACCCAGTATCCCCTTTTCTCTTACAGCTGAAATACAAACTGTGAGTGGATGAAGCTTCTGGCTCTGTGAGCTCAGGCTGTTATGTTTTCTGACAGATGACATAACACAGGGACCTAGAGAACCTGACACTAGCTCATCACATAAAGGCTCTGGCTGGATCCTGAATCTAGGATCCACAGAGCACCAAATGAAGCACGAAGAGCCTCAGAGAGGAGATTGAGATACATTTCATTTCCTGGACTTAACGCAGATATACACACAAATATACATACTCAGATGAACTCTGAGCCTGTCCTTAAAAGAGATGTCAGCCGCAGAACAAGGAATTGATATTGATGTTAACGGAAAGGGTACAGATTCAGGAAATAAGAAAAATATAAACGGAAAGGTGTCTTTAAATTATTAAAATTGGCTGACTACATGTTTTTCCAACTTATTAACGTTTAACTTGAATGTGCTGTACTGAAACAGTCACCCCTGCAAAAACACATAACCCTGAAGATCAGTTTGAAAAGGGGTAAAAAAAATGTTCTTCCTTTGATTACCTTTAGGGTTTAAAATCCTGTTGCTATGGTAAGGCTCCCTCTTAAGGTTCGGATTCAGGTCACGGCAATGCAAAGTTGCATTTAAAATGAAACTGGGCTGAGTAGATTTTTAGGTGACGCAAACTGTCTTCAAAAACTTCAACCAAGTCCAGTTGCCTTTTTATATTAAACTTTGATTGTCCATGTACAAGATTTTCCCAGAATTTCCCTCTGGGGACCAATAAAGTATTATCTTATTGTAAGATACTAGCCCCAATTTGCTCCCAGCAGCTGTACCAACTGTGCATCTGTGTAATTGTGTGAACTGTAAGATGGCATGCAGTGTAAAGCTGTATGAGTGGTCTGAAGACAAGTAAATATTCAATCAACGTTATTTCAAGAGGACAAATCCGCTGCCACATTGGATTTTGGAGTTTGTTATTGGGGCCATATTAAACTGACTTGACTGGTTTAGTTTTCTTCAGAGCAGTTTACTTTACTCAAAAAACCGTTTCATTGGTTAAAAAATTCAGAGCTCTAGAAGCAAGCGTTCACACACAAAAAACCCCAATGAGAATGAAAAAGTATATCTCATTTGGAGACTTTGGAACTATATTTATCCAAATTATTAAGAGTAAAGCATTTTTGAATAATGTACCAAAGAATTATATCTTCACTCACTACCATTAAAACAAAACATTAATCATGTTATGAATTCCTCCATTGTCCACTGTCTGTCCCCCTCTAGACACAATCACTTGGACCTTTGGAACATAAATAACTACATGATAAATGTGTTGTGATGAAGTATCTGAGCCAAAAATACAGTCATCTAGATGCTTGACTGTTTCCTGTGCCAGCTGTTTCATAAGGTCCTTGAAATCTTGGCCAACTGCTCGACTTTGCCCCCATCGAGTCTGGTTAAAGATATGTCATGTGCATGTTGCTATCAGAGTAGTCACCTGGCATGTACACAGCAGAGGCAGGGTATGCAGATATAGAACCATTTGAAAACTCAACAGGGTTTGGTTAAAGGAAGTAAGGGGCATGACTGCTACAAAAGATGATGATACCGAGTCAGTAGAAGTTCCATTATGATTACACCGAGTCAACATGAAAGGATGGATGAGGATGGGATCTTTCCAAGTGTCAGTCTGACCAATCACAAACATGTAATAAAGGAGATTATGAGACAGCACTGTTCATGCATATCAAGCTTGATGGCATGATGCTTCTTTATTTGCCCCCTCCCCCATCACTGACCCTTGCCTTGGCCTGGCCTACATTTGTAGTTTTATAGGCTAGATTGTGAAAAACAAACACACACTGGCTTAACCTTGGAACAGCAAGAGTCACATAGACACTGAAACCACAGGGCCAGATGTATGGTCAAAAGAACAAGGAAATATCACATATTCTCAGACAGAAGTTTACTGTGTAACTATGTCATCTGCCGTCACAGTACTGTGAGCAAACACCTCCAGCAATGGACAAATAATGTCCATTGCCAACTTAAGAAAAAAAAACTTAAGAAAAAAAAAAGAAATAAGCAAGAAACTACCACAACAGCTGAAAAACTTTGCCTAAGTGAAACTAGTGTGTTAAAAAGAGGAACAATAAACCAAAACAGAAAGTTGGTAACATCAAATAATAGATCTAATAAGAATCAAACCAGGAAACCAGACAAAAACAACCATTAGAATACTTACAGTCTGAACACTGATTCTTGGCAATAAAAAAGCACTTATTGAAAAGATATGAATTTCAGTTCACTCCATTGGTCAACACAAAGCAAAGACAAAGTTGATTTGATCTCCAAGTAAAAGGAATAGAAGCATAATAAGTGACCCTGGTCTATTTTTTCCTGCTGTAACACTATGTCTACTTTCTTGGGAACAAAAAAACAACAACTTTGATTCTGATTTAAAATAAAAGACATTCATTAAAGCATGAAGGTAGAAAACTGATGTCTCATTTCGTTCTAAGATCTGGTTCCTTGTATAAACACAGTAAAGGCTGAGCACTATCCTGCATGAGCTTCCTTTAGACGTGTTTTTCACTGAACAAACAGGAACCCAGCGGCACACCTCAAGGAGTGGTGGGATCACAAAATGGCAAACAACACCAGCCTGGGACCATATTGAGATATTTAGCTGTTTAGGGGAAAACAAGACTAAGGTTTTTCAATATTCAAAACAAGAAATTAACTTCTGTTTGAAAAAGGGGCGGGTGCAGAGGTGCTGCCTGAGGACTAAACTGACTGTGGTGCTAATATTAATGAGATGATGAGCTTTGACGAAAAACACAAAAGAACATTCCTCTCAGAGACACACCTCTCATGTATCACTGTAAATATCCTTTCCGAACAATCACGTTTTTACTGACGACACAAGAGCTACTGTACGCTGTACTCGACATGGCATATAGCCTTTCAACAAGAGTGAAAGCTCTTCAGATTTGGAGCTTGATATAGATGATGCAAAAGGTCCTTGGAGAGTAAATCCTGGCAAACGGTATTAAAATGACATGCACAAACTAGTAAAATAGACAAGTACAATAAATAGAAAGTAATTCACACATAAATGTGAGACAAATACATTACCATGTCTCCAGGGGTCCTTGGGCTCCACTGCACCAGACACTATATCCTCATCTGAAGGAAACGTCACCCTTTTGCCACTTGGTTTGTGTTTGTCATCCCCTTCCTCCACAGTGGGGTACAGTCCGGCTTGGTCTGTCGGGGCAGCTTCTGTGCTGCTAGTCTGGTTCCCTTCTGATGGGCTCTCTGCTGCGCTTCCAGCTGGGACATCCTGAGACTTGGACTCTGAGTCTAAAGTATTGTCTGAGAGTGCTGTGTTTGTCAATTCAGCCTCCAGCACCCCACTCTCATCGAGACTAAGATCCACACCTATGTCCATGTCCCCGCCATCATCCCCTTCCTCAACAACAAACTCAGCCAGCCTAGCATCCTTTACTTCTTGTATGGTCTCAACTTCAATATTGTCCTTGTGCTGCTCATCATTAGAAAGGATTAAGTCAGTGGGATTCACTACTGCAGGAGTGTCTTTGTCACTTCCCTTTGTATTCCCATTAACCTCATCAATTTCCAGCGCATCTTGAGCCTGGTGGTTATCCTCCTCGGCGGCCTGAAGGTTGTCAGTGAGCTGAGGCATCAGGTACGTTTCAGAGGCATCTGTGGGAACAATGTTTTGTATTTCTATGTTGCTGTCCGTCATCAGTTCAGATATTCGGGGTGTGACCCCCTCTGTGTTGTTAGTAGTGTTGCGATCATCCTCCACGTTGCTCTTCGTCTTCACATTGCACAAATCTAGACACTGCTCTTCGATATTCATGTTTTCATTTCCAGCAACAACAAAAAAAAAAACTCAGCCTTTACTGTGCCAGACAGCCTTGATAATGAGTTAAACAGTAACTAGGAACCAACAGACATGGATAAGATCTAAGTTTTTGAACAATTTACTTAGAAGGGCATCTATCAGTGCCCTTACAGACTGAATGATACTTAAGTGCAATCACAAACTGTATTTTGACTAGTTAAAGGAAGAGAGGGGGGGGTGATTCAACTCCTGAAATAAAAGTGCAATTAAACACACTTTCAAAACAAAGAATGTGTGACATACATGCGAAAAAGTTATTGCTTCAGTAACATTTTTAATGCTGAACCAGGGATACTTCATCAACATCAGTCAAGACAAGGCACCTCTATTTTTTTTTTTTTTTTACCAACCGTGTCCTCTTCTTCAAGTGTGAACAGACAGACCGTCAGCACATTGCCAACAGTGTTTAAGAGCAACAGCAGCCAGTCAATTGAAACGAACAAGTCATTCAGGGTGCCTCCATTAAACGCTAGCAAAAACTGAGCTTAACTGTCCCGACACCGAGCTAATTCAGCTGCATGTATTTTGACCGAGCAAAACGTAGGCTAGGCTGCTAAAGTTGTTGCCCAACAATGTCGTCCAGGCCCGCGTAGTAAGGTCGTAGTGTGTCCGTCTGTTTCTCCCCGACAAAGTCCATTCTTCTGCGTCGAGCAAAAAAAAAAAATATTCTCCGGCTGTTGCTCTTTTTCCTCACCCTCGCATCACAAACCCCTCGACCAGCGACAGCCAGAAGAAAAACACACTCACACACACACACTCACACACACACACTCACTCACACACACAGAGGCGTCACAGTCGAGCAATGATTCAGAGGCTAGTGTTAGCGCCAATGAACCGTCCCCGGAGATAACACCTGCTCGGTGCTGATACGGTGGATTAATATGAGATTATGAAGGTATAGCAGCCACTCGGCTCTCAAATGTAGATCCCTATCCGGTAGATGTACGCTGAACCTGTTTTTGTCTAGCCTTACCATTCGCTAGCTTGAAGTCCGACAACTGTTTGTTGTTCACACGTCTTACGTCAGCACGTCGTTACCCACAGGGGCACGTTCAGCACGCGCAGTGTTACAGAAGGTTGCGAAGAAGCGAATACAAGACGATTACTTTTAACAGCATCGCGTGGATTAAATAATTTATCGTGTGTTGCTTGGTTTGATTTTTTTTTTTTTATCCTTCAACTCGAAAATATGAAATGAAAATGTAAATTCTGGTTGTGGTTTTTTTTTGGTTTTGGATTTTGAAAATTTCAACAACAAAAACAAAATCAGAATTTAAAGAAGACAAAGTACTTTTGAGTATCTTTCATCACTACACTGATTTACACAACGAGGAAGCTTACTTTTGACGCATGTTTTAATTTTAATAGGAAACATGGTCTCAACAATTAAAGTTTGCCAGTGTGCCATTAAGAGCTCTCAATTCAGCCGTGAGCAAGACAAAAAAAAAGTTGCTATAATTTAACTTTTATTATGCCAGTGTGTCACCTTGTTTTTCTAGTGTGACAGACTTACCCTGATCACAGCCCTTGGGTGATTTGCTTTTATTGATTTATTACTGGACAGTCCTGATTTGACTACTTGAGCAGCATCAACTGTGTTGTCCTTTTTTCAAGGTATACACCTACATTTGCATCAACGCAAAAGGACACACTTAAGCTACAATCAAACATGCATTTAGCAAATGCAAATTATTTAGGCCTCAGTTTGCATTGCATCCAGTCGTTTTTACAACCCAACACCTGCAGAATTGAGGTGTGCGTGTTTGACAACAACCCAGATAACCTTTATGTTCAGAAAGCAATGGCCCTTTAAGGAAGAGGAAATTAAGCACTTATGCTGAGCCATGTGGGTCCCTTGAAGTAAAGTTTCCCAACCCCAGGGACACAAGTGCCATGCTAAATAAATAATACACACATTAAAGAATAAACACTTTATTATGGCAACATTTACAGAACACATTCAATTTTAAAACTCTTAAAACTGGACATCTTTAGCTGTGACATCATCCTTGGGTGCCTTGGTCTTTTTGGGGAGAAGGACTGCTTGGATGTTTGGGATGACACCACCCTCTGACATCGTGACCCCTGCCAGCAGTTTGTTGAGCTCTTCATCATTTTTCACTGCCAGCAAGATGTGTCGGGGGGCGATACGCTGCTTCTTGTTGTCACGGCAGGCGTTTCCTGCCAGTTCTAGGATTTCAGCTGTGAGATACTCCAGAACAGCACCCAGATACACTGCAGCGCCATTGCCAATCCTGTTTGCGTAGTGTCCTTTTTTCAGCAGCCTGTGAATGCGGCCTACAGGGAAAGTGATCCCTGCCCTGGAAGACCGGGACAATGAGGTTTTTTCTTTGGGTGCAACTTTCTTCCCACGTCCAGACATCTTTGATCTAAGTAAAGAGAAACAATTCAGTACTGATTACATAGTAAAGAACATTAACCCACCTCACAAAAAGTTATAAGACCTTTTCCAACTTCAATCAAAATTGTTACACACAGCTCTCCTCCTGTCACGGGAAAACCACATCAAAGTTAACCGTCTCCAACTCACCAGCATTCAGCACTTTTTCCAAGTCAGGACCACAGCTTCTCACTGAAGCAACAGATCTCTGCTTTTATATCATTCAGGCAGTCACTTGGTGATTGCTCACACCTGGCTCCTCTTCGTCACTGAATTACTGTGACTACTGCAATTAGCCAATGACCACACACCTTGGAATAGGTAAGGTGAATTTCACACTGCGAGTGGTGACAGGACACTTCATTAAAATGGAATGGTGAAGAGAGACTACAAATTAAATTGAGGGGTCAGTGAAATTTAGACAGTCTAACATCTCAATCAATCAAAGATTACAGGTCAGAAACGGCTTCAGAGAAATTTCAGTAATAGTTGCAAATTTGCATGGATAATATGCAGGTGTTTTATGTAACTTAGAACATTATACCATTCTTAATTATGGGATAATTTTACTTTAGTATTTTATTTTTAATGCTACTTTATACTGCATACTTTTTGTCCTATTAAACACATCCATATGCTGCTTATAATATATAACATTTAAGTAATAGATGCGATTGAGCAAATAACTATAAAATGTAAAATATTTCCATAAATTCCATCTTTTAATGTTGGTATTCCAAAATGTGCTGTTCAACTTCACCACCAGATGGCAGCACAGACCTTAGATTTAACACGCTCCTTGATGCAGTTTGACCTTATTTTGTATTTTACTCTAACGACTTACTCTTAATGATGGATCACTTATCAAACCACTCTTAGTGGTGTCATGATCCTTCAGTTTATGATGAGGTGCTCAACTGTGTCTGTCTCCCTCCGTGCCTGCTGTGCTTACTTTTTTTGGGGTGGGGTGGGTGGGGTATTGATGACTCATCTCCTTTACCTTAGTGTACAAGCATCATTCTGTTGCAGTAGAACACACTCAGGTCCATTACTTTATCCCCCTTTAGCCCACGTTTCATACAATTGTTTTCCGAGGTCTGTGCTTTTTAATTTACATATCTCAACATCACTCTGAAAGCAACGTCAGCCACCTGTTTTAAACATATTTTATCTGTTTATTTTTGCTTAAATTAAATAATAACCTAATTTCCAAGTCGAAGTCTACCATATTCGTCCTTTGTTGCTTTTTTGCCTTCTCCAATAGGATGGAGGGGAGACAGAGACATTTTGACTGTTTGGATTCACTTTAAAATATGGCAAAGGGCCAATTGCAGAGCAGCGGGAAGACAAATTAAGCAGGGACCTTCCCAGCAGGTTGTCCTTGGCCAGATTGGATGTGATTCTGTTCAACCTCTCAACATCCTTCCCGACACGAGGAGGACAGTATGGGACTCACCAGCTGTCACAAAGCGGCTCCCTGTGCACATCTCTGCGGCTGGGCTTTCAAGAAAGTATAAGCATAAAGCCAGTGCACGCATTGGTTTCCTAACACAATTTATTTGCACTCAGTGGAGACTGGATCACTGTAAGATGTAGTTTTTCATCATGCAAGTTGTCGTCATTGAAACAAGCCATTTGTCTTTTTGTGTAGTTCTCCTGGGAGTCTTCGTCTGGATAAAGATTGAAGGCACTCTGTATTTATTAGCAACAGTAGCTACTAACACTGAAGTTTGCAGTCTGCTGCCGAGTTAGGAGAGGAGATGAAAGGGGAGCAGAGGAAGCAACGAATTGATCCAAGTATACGATTAAACTCACAGGTTGAAGGCAAAACCAGACATCAAAGCATGAAAACTTATTTCATGTCTGCTGTGCAAAATCACAGTCAGTTGTATTATATCTTTGTCAAAATTAATTGACAGCTAGTTCTTTGCATCAGAGACATGGACAGGTTAGTGACGAAGAGCGACTTGCTGTCTTTAGCTGACACTGAGAGGCCTCTTTCTCTTTTCTCTGAGCAGTAATAAATTTGAAGACGTGGCCTTAAGGCGGATAGCGCTGTTACTTTTCCACTTTCCTCGGCTTTATGGAGACTACAGGAGATTGTGCCTGTTTTACAGAAAGCAATTCATCTTCTACATGAATCAAACTCAGGGGTCAATGACTTCTTTCAGACATGCAGACCAGTTGTACGAAAATAGTAATGCCTTTTACGGGAAAAGAGTGGTGTTCCATTGAATTACGAGCAATTTACAAAGGGCATGCATGACCCAACTCAGGATAAAAAAATAAAAATTTTCTTTGATGCTGTTAATCTGTTTCAAACAATAATAGCCCATTCTTCACAGACCAATTTCCTGGCTTTCATAAATTTTCAAGAAGACAGCAACATTAGCCTCTTATGGTGCGAAAATGTGTTACATGCACCTTGTCCCTCTTGCAATCTGAAGTTAATAAAGAGACTTTTAATGGGATCTGTCTGCACGGTAATCGGAGGGTGAGTCAATATCTTCTTTGACAATGAAACCTCATGGACATCCACAGTGCAGCCCAGTGTGCTGAGGTCTCCGGATCCTCAGGTGCTTGAAGTGTGACGCCTCCTGAAAAGAAGGCCTGTGAAGCTGTGATTGTTTTTCCATAAGTTCTTCTGCAACAGCCAGAGCTCCCTCCTATTAAATACACAAGAAACAACTCCAAGACAAGGTCTCACGTTATGCGCTGAGTCAATTCTTGTGCTGTATTTTATGTTTAACATAACCTGATTTCATTTTTAGCTTTTATTTTACATTTTAGGAAAAAAAAAACCTAAAAAAAAGCCTACCTGCTTCTTTTCAAAAACCTCCTGATCAACCAACACACTGCTGCGGCGTGGAGAAAAGCTGGAGAACACCTGTAATACTTGTATCATATCATCAGTATCATGAAACGTTATTCTCAGATTTATTGGTCTTCTTTTTCACTCTTTCTTAGCCCTCAAATTTACATTTGTCAGTGTACAGTATAATGTACTATGAATCTTTTCTAAACTCTTGATGGAGAAAGCAGATAAGTTTTTTGTAGGGCACTATAGAAAACTTTTGTAATGTGCAGTCATTGGTATAACCCCCCCACAAGTAGGTTGTGGGTATTGATAATCTACATACATGGGAAAATAGATTAAAGTTTGTGAGTGTATGAGGCAGGGGCAGAACCCAAATTCAGAAACCAGAATGATAGTTTATTATTGTTTATTTTCACATCAAGGCCCACAGTCAGAGTCATTCAGGTAGGAAGATAATACAGGCCAAGGTACCACGGATACAAGATTCTCCAATACAAATGCACAGAACAAGACACAAACAACACTTTATTATTTGGTTTATTTTACTGGATAGGACATATATCGAGTGATAAATGTGGGGAGAGAGAGTGGAGATTGACATGAACCAATTCACATCAGAATCAAGCCTGCAATCAGTGTGACGAGGACCTTAGCCTCAGTAGATGGGGCTCCTGCTCTACCAACTGAGCTTCTTCCAAAGCCAAAGTACAACAAGCGTTAAATGTGCTCTGTGTGTTTGCCAAAGCTTTCTTGCTGAGTGGCATAAGATAAGAAATATCTTGTGAGATGGCTCAATTTTTCTTTCTCTGTTTGTGATCTCTAGAGCATTGGGTATTGGCTTATATCAAGTAACCCACTTTCACCAATGTGATTTAATAAATGACATTCAAGTGATGTAAACTATAGACTCTAAACCTGTCCTCACCATTGGTATCTGAAGAGGTGTCATGATACACAACGAAGGTTGTAGCTATATGGCAAATGCTATCTCCACCTATCAATCGATCAATCAATCAATCAATCAATCAATCAATCAATCAATCAACCAACCAACCAACCAACCAACCAACCAACCAACCAATCAATCAACCAACCAACCAACCAACCAACCAACCAACCAATCAATCAATCAATCAATCAACCAACCAACCAACCAACCAACCAATCAATCAATCAATCAATCATTATTTTTATAGTTCCAATTCACAACAAGTGTTATCTCAAGGTGCTCGAGACAAGATTTCTTTTTTTGTATTTGTTGCGTTCCTGTTGTCCACATTTCCTTACTGCTGAGTTGGAGGTTGCAGCAGGCCGTGCATGAATGAGGACGGCGGTGGTTGAAGGGGAGACATAGTCCGATGGCGGTGGCTGGGCGTCGTGTGGTTGTTGGGAAGATACAGTCCGATGGTGGTTGCTGGCCGACAGGGACTTCGGGTGGTAGTAGTGCCAGATCACCTCTCTGAAGTTTGGGGGAGCTACGTCTACTCGAGTGCCTGGCTTCTGCTGCTGGGACGAGGCCTCCTACAGTATTGTGCATTCAATCCAGAAAAATGTATGCAAAGAGGTAGAGGTGGAGCTGAAGAGGGCCGTAAGCCTTCAGACAAACAGCAACTTCATTTTTCAACACCTGAGGAAAAACTGATTGCTTATATTTTACTAGTTTAAATGAACACTACACTCTCGGCTAGCATTTTACAGTTATTGTTTGTCTGTTTGTTGAAGTAACTTTTATCAAGATGAGCTTAAAAAATAAATCAAAATGTCACATAAACAACGTCATATTTCCTCAAATCAATGTGTGATACATAGGACAGCATTGGCCTTCTTGTGTAGTTGGACTCCTGCTGGCTCTCTTCTGAAAAATAGTCATCTGAACTTTCCCGCTATGCAGTCCTCATCTTGATATGTTATTTAAATAGATTTAAGTCTGGTCCTACCCGTGCTTACTATTTCGGGATATTGAATTTTAGAGCGGTGTAGAATAGTCTCTCTTGCCTTCCTCATCTTTTGCATCTTCCTACTCATCTTTTATCCTCCGCAGGTCCTTAGCCAGCTGTGATGGATACCATATGTCCATACCACATGTCACTGGTTTCCCAATAAAAACCATTTCCCTTTTTAAACATTATGAAAACACAGGGTGGACCTGGGGATATATAAAATC